CGTCATTCTACAAGGAAGTTTCGGCGAGTTCTCCGTTGGCATGGTGCCTAGGCTGCATGTGTGTACATCAATGCAGCACCGTAGTCGAAAGCTATACGGGCATGAGCATGTTGGATATTTGTAGGCGGGCGGGCGCGGTAAGCGTTAGGCGTCTATGTCGGTATGTTGCAGCTTGACAGGACGCTACAGAGGTACTTTCCTTGGATAAGACGATGCGCAGCGCCTACAGGGAGACCACATTCCGTCCTGCTGAGTGTGTGGGTGTTCCCACATATCTTGAGATTTATCGCCACCTGCCTTGATGTGGTTGAGCGTACTGCACTCGTTTTTAGTGACCAATTAGGCGCAGGTAATGATTGGGCTTGTTACTGATAAGTGAGGATTGGATTCTGATAAGTACATTACTAGGGTGCTGTTTGTCGACGGGGGGCATTTTGTACTACCATTGCTTCCCTAGTTCCGGTTTACAAATCTCACTCTGGTAAACTTGTGAACGCTTGTGAAGCTGGAGTAAGATCGTCTAGCCACCATCCTGAAACGTGTCAACTCGAGAAAAGGCTACCTAGATGGGTCGGGCACATCTATGGAAAGCAGAATGCCCCCCCCCCCGTCGACAAACTGCGCCTATTACTCGTTTGTGATGTACGAACTCTCCACGGGAGACAGGCAAGAGAATCGTAATAGGCCGCCCCGCCGCGCGCGGCGATGAGCGCGGCGCTTTCTTAACTCGTGTCACTTCGTCGATTGAAGCACCGGACTTCATGTAGACCCCGTCATCGTAGACATTCATGACTATTTTCGGTTCTGAATTGCCTGCTGTCGCCATCTACGACCTGGACGAATCATCATTTGCGGGTGCAACGTCGCACGCGACGCCCATTAGCGCGGCGAATTTCGGTTCTCTTGTCACATTCCCATTCTCCGCATGATCCGCGGCACGTAGTTTAAGTGTTGTATGACGTCAGAGACACTTTTGGGATCGGGGACCTGCGTTACACCAACGCCAACATTTAGCCGCTTCTTGGGCCAGGACGCACCTTCTGGTCGGTACATCTTTCCTTCATCATTTACGTGATTATTCTATGTTTTGAAGGCAATCGGGAAATCAGAATATGACGCGACCACGCAGATGCTTGAATCTTTATATCCCAGAAAACAGTGTCAGTATAATGATGGTCCAAATCTCAAGTGAACCAGTACGATTTGCTAAACAGTAGCAACTGATGGTGAAAACATTCAATACAATAATTTTGTGATTCAAGTTGAATAAGTGATATTTGGGAATGAACTGTTTACTCATCAACCTTTTCTTCCTTTTCTTTGGATGTAGAAGGGGGAGCGTTTGGCCACAACGCAGCAACACAACAGATACAACAACAGCAACAGCAAGAGACTAGAAACATTACCATAATCACCCAAATGGCGGTGATAATGACAAAAGCCAATACATAGGTAAGATGATCACAGTAAGTAGAACCATCTTGTTTGTCGTATGTAACAATTTTGCTGACACTGTAGGTCCAGAAAGTACCAAGAATTAACCTTGAAAGAAGAAAGTTGAGCTTTACAATCAACATTTGCAACTTCGCTAGTACTGTACGTATTGATTTCTAACTACGTTAGAAGAGTTTTGGTTGGGCAGTTAAGATCGGCTTCGATCCTCTCAGGTGGTACCGCTGGCAGAGCAATGAAGCTGATTCATCAACCTCTTATGAGAAGAGTGCAAAGCTGCTCACAATTGACGCAGTGCCGTACTTACCAAAATAGTAACACAGTTACTAAATAAGGCCTGTGTAACTACGTTAAGTGCGGCGTCCACCAGCGACCAGCAGCATCCAGGATGGAGAGCGTGTGATATTAGGATAGCGGACAGTTGTCGACAATCGCGGCATAGGAGGGTAGACCACAGCTCTTTGACGCTTGGCAGAGAGTATAGGGCGATAGGAGGTGCCAGCTGTCTGATACCGTGTCATATCTTCCTCTATCGCCCCATGCTCTCCATCCCTTCACGCTGCTGCTCGCTCATAGGCGCTGGTAAACGCTGCTGCTCGTCGTTAGATCGATGACCACTCCTAGTCCCTCGAGACGCTGATGGTCGCTGGCGGACGCCGGTGGACGCTGATGGATGCTGGTGGACGCTGACGTTCGGTAATCGATATCAATACCTTCCTAGTCGCTGACGCTGACGAACGCTCGCAGCTAATGGTCGCTGTGCATGCAGCTCAATGCGGGGTCCTGCTACTCTCCTAAGCTGCCATCATCTTTAAACTATCCCCATGTTCCTGCAGGATGCCATATCGGTATCTATACTTTTCTTCTCGGGAATTCCCTGGAAACGCCAATTCTCTCGAAACGGTATTCATGTACTCTGCAGTCGCAAAGTGTGACTAAGTCGCAAACTTATTAAATTGTTCAAACTAAGCAATAAAAATTTGCACTAACCAAATAATCCAAAATATGCAAAAGAAGAGTTCCAAGAATGCACGTATTTTGAGCAGATCGCCTTTGTTTCGATCCTTAATTAAGTTAATTAGGTAAAACCCTCTGTCCCTCTGTACTTAAACATTCAAGTTCTTCGCTGCTTCCTATGGCAACGATGCCGGGAAGGATCGTCTTTATTTTCAGTTTCAGATTGACTACACTAAATCTAGTTCTAACATTTTACCCGTGATTGCAGCTACACCTTGTAATTAAAAGTACCTTTTTCGAAGAAGTAGCCCAATTTCTCCTCAATAACATGCCAGAAATGCTGGGGCGTGTCAGGGATGGTGGAGTTTGGCGCGTTGAAATTGGAGCGGGAAAGTGACATCAACTGGTGCAACGAGCAGGCGCCGCCTCAAACCGAGCCTTATTGTGGAATGCACCGAGCGCGCTGCAGCGTACAAGACTGTACCTTCCTTTCGTGATGAGCTGTCAGGGCTGCTTCAAAGTAGTCTCCGCGCTGATCGCACTTTGAGATCATAACCCGCCATAGGACCTTCCTCATTGATGGAACACCTCTTGTAGGATGGCAAATGGATGTGACGCGCTAAAGAGGAAATGGGGGCTGAGTTTGGAGCGCGGCGTTGGCGCCAGCAAGCAACAAGAACTGCTGGAAAAGGGCTCGCGTCGCGCTAAATCCTGCTTTCCGACACGCCCCAGATTTGCAGCGAGGACTGCATGTTAGATTAGGTCAGAGGCCAGGTTCACGTACTATGAACGCAAACGGTTACTTCTTTCATGATGACTGCCAAAGCTGCTTAGGGGTAACTACCGGTTGCTATGAGGCTACTTTGGAAGTCAGGATATTCTCAGTGATGGGTGAATCTTCTAGGACGGCAAACAGACATGGCGCGCTAATGAGGAAGAAAAATCTGGGTTTGGAGCGGATCATTAAAGATGGCAATTGACAAGAACTGATAAAAAGGGGTTCGCGCCGCGCTCAACCCCCTCCCTGATGCGCCCCAGATTCGCAGCGATGAGGACTCTATATTAGATCAGGTCAGAGGCTACCTTCACGTACTATGAACGCAAATGGCTGCATTGCGGCCTAAGCGATAAACCCCACCAATTGCAGTCTGCTTGGAATTCTAGAATACGTCCAATATCTATCCACCGCAATGCAGCCCTTTGCGCCTAAAGTTCTTGGTGATCGTGAAATTAATCGATGATACAACTAAAAACTTAGCTTCGTAACTGACCACTATTCCGAAGCAAATATGTAGTGTGTACCGCAAGCAGCTGACACCACCAGAAACGATCAGCCATATGGGAATCATATTATTCACTGGAACAGTTGTGAACATTGAGCGAGCCCACGACGATCTCGACGATTGCAATGAACAAGAACAGGCCGAGGATGAACAATGTTCCCACTGAAAGAGTTCAGCGATTATGACTGGCCATAGTAATGGTCATATTTCTTAGAGCTGTCGAAAGTTAGATAGAGTGTGGTATATATAGCTGGTCAACTAATTACATATTGCTATAGTGATGGTTATCCTTTGCGGGGCGAACCTGCCCACAACCGAAACTTCCGCACGCAATCGGCATTCCTGGGAGAACTCCAAGAGTCCGAACTGTGGAAAGCGGCACGATAAATCTTAAGACGTGTGGAATGAACACGCCTAGCAGCGCAGAATTCCGAGTCCCCGAGCAGGTGCTCTAGGGCGCCTTTCTCGAGGAAAGTATAACGCCCTATCGAGTGCAACATACTATCCCAGACATCCATCGCGCCCGCTCGCCTACAAATGTCTGAGCAATGATGATTCATGTAACGAAGTACAATATGAAGCGAAAGGAATGATATGAAGCGGCTGCCATGCTGCATGGATATATTAGGTTGTCCGGAAAGTTCTGAGCGTTTTGTGCACCTAAATTTTGTACATTCACTGCTGATTAAAAACTCATTCTGCCTTGCTTC